CAACAATTTTTTACATGCAAAATGTTGGCGTTTTTTTTTTTTATTAATGTCTTGTGCACAAGGGTTCTAAATTTGTTTTTGATCAATTCTATTTTAGAAAATAACTTGTTCGTCGATTATCCATTGTGAATTTGATGGGTAGCGGAGTAGAATAATTTTACAATAGAATAACTGGTGCTGTTGTAGAAATACGCTTTAAAAATGTTTTCATATGTATACATGTATATAGTTTTAAATATACAAAATCGTGTCATAGTTTTCGTAAGTTCTTAATATTTTGTTTGAACATTATCACCCTCCACTCTAGCCACACCGACTTTTCTAACTGGGGGTTACAACAGTTATTTGTACTGATAGGAGGTAAGGGATTTGATGCATGCCAGGGATTAACGGAAAGTGATATGAAACAATATAGAACCCTAAAAATGTAGGAGAATTAGTTAATTATTTGAAACAAATATTATTAGCTTGTGGCTAGAGGGGGTAGTGTTATTATGTGTGTTTAATCAGGGTATGTTGGTGCAAAAGAATATTGGTGTGAAAGATATAATGAACGAATGGAATGATGACGCGGGGGAAACGTATTCACGTTTTGGGTAGAAACTGGTTGCCGTGCATTGTGTGTGTATTAGTTATTTCTTGATCGTCTTAGAGTAAGGATGTATATGATCTCTGTGACTCAACTGGGAGAGTAGTTTCTTGAGACGTCTATATGGACGATACTTGCAAGCTTAATCGATTAGTCAAGTAACTTAATAAAGATAGGAAGAAAAAACCTATATGCATCTTATAGAGATCATTATCAACTGCATCATTGAGATGTGTAATGGCATAATGACAGCCTTTGGTCATGGTATCCTCACATAATAGTGGTTCAAGTAGGTGACCACTTTCACAGTTGCAACATTTTAGGTAGTCTTGTATTGTGTTGTGTTAAGGTTAAGTCGTAGTTTAGTCAAGTCTTTGTATCGTTCGTTCAAGTCGTCCTATGTATTTTTATAGTGTAATATATATTGAAGTTAACTGATAGCATCTTGTCGAATCATTTGTCGACGTTAATGTCGTCGTGTTCTAAGTTGAAGTTCTAGGAAGAACTACTAAATGGCTAGAGCGGAACATAATAGTAGTTAAAATCCTCATACTGTATAACTACGGGTTACATAGACCCCAGATATAACACCGACCCTATAATATCTAGTCCAATAGCGATACAAGAATCCGTGATATTTATTTCTCTTAAATGCAATGGATTCAAGAATGGAATGTAGCTTCTCTCTCTCGCTAAAGTTGATAGAAACTACATTTATAACTACAAAGACTAGTGTCATTTCTTAATAACAATTGCTGGAGAGATTATACATTATGCGTTAATAAAAAATGGTTTCTTTTAAACGACTTATCTACTCACCTGCTTGGAGTAAACCCTGCTTATTTACGGTACCGATAACGCCCCCCTCCCCCCCTTCCCAATTTAGGTTAACATTGGTGAGCGGTTTTTACCAGTCACTGATTATAAAGGGTGTGATTGTACTGTAACACAATCAAGTTAGATTAATCAGCGAGTGTAGCCTGGTTGCCATATATTTTATTAATTTTTCTAATGTGTAATGTATTTAATGTTTTTTATAAGTCTTTTAACGCTCATACTTAAACCTCGGCCCCCATCGCTGCTACTAAGTTACCCCAGCCCCCACCACTGCCAACTATCTAGCTACGCCCCTAACGCTAAGTTTTCTTGGTAATCATTGACAAGCATAACAATCAGCGAATATTAAAATAATAAAACATTTGTTTTCCTACCTTATAAACATAACTTATGAGGATGACAATAATTTAAAGAGAAGCAACAATTAAAGTTATCCACATACTTGGAGAATGCAACGATTATATACCTTAACGAATATTACAACACAACATCCTTATTTTAATTAAAGAAATAAAAAATACTAATATATGACAAACTTTTTGTTTTTGTATTATAATGAGTTTTTATTTCTTATAATTTGACAATAGGGATTTACTAAACACGTAGTTATTCGATAAGTGAATATTATTACAATAGTCTACAGCAGGGGTCTCCAAACTACGGCCCGCGGGCCGGCGGGCCCCGCGAAGTCATTTCATCCAGCCCGCGACGATCTTTTTGTCCACTAAATAAATGTTTGTTGGAGGTGACTGAGGAACTTTGCACAGAAAATTCAAAACAATTAGAAAATGTAGCTTTGTGTGCAAATATCATTGCCCGCCGTGTTGCAGACATTGGTGAAAACATCTTTTCTTTATAGTAATTTAAATAGTAGTGTATAATTTATTTTCTACTTTTTAGTGCAATAGTACATTAAAGCTTGTTATGAAAACGTTTTTTATGAATTTTTTTCGATTTCAATGGATGAGTCGCTGGACAGTTGTTCATTAGAGTGGGTATAGAAATTGGCCTCTGCTGCAGACTAAACTAGTCATTTAAATTTTCTGAACCTAAAACGGCAACAGAAGGAAACGTAGTTTCTTATCTATACAATCACCTAAAGGCCTTCAGATTCAAAGTTGTCATGTATTTGGAACAAGTACAGACCAACAACTTGACACAGTTTCAGCAGTGCAAGTTTCCCACGTCATTTACATTTCATCATCAAAGACCTCCAACTGCAGTTTCAGTAGGCTCTCTGACTTAGATTCAAAGGCAGAAGAAGTGAGACTGCTTCAAAGCCCATTTGAAGCAAATGTGGCCAGTTGCGGTAGACGTCTTCGGGAAGGGGAAGCGCCCCCTCCCCGAAGAAATGCCTTAAAGAAACTCTGACCCCCGAACTGATATTTCATAGTTAATGCGGCCCTCGGACTGAAAAGTTTGGAGACCCCTGGTCTACAGAAATATGTGATTTTTGAAAGTATTAAATATCTTATAAATTATTATGTCATTCTAAATATCTCCTACCCGTTCCCCTTTATTCTACCCACAGTTAATGGATACACGTCTAAACCTGGAGTCCAGCGGTATCGTAGAGCTAATGGGTCTGTTACGCTTATGGTGTGCAGTGAGGGTTTGAGTCACTTGACTCGGCCAACTACCATTTGGCTCGTCCCCAATAACAGGGAGAGACGTTCTAACCTTGAGGACCAGTACGGCTGTTCCACGCTCAGTCCGACATATGGCATTCAGAGATAAGGCAAACTCAATATTCCTAGTCTAATACTTTATTTATATATATACAGCTATCTATCTCCCAACTTGAGGCATACGGACCAGCACACGTCCTTACATACCGACGATCAAGATTTGACTCCTTTCTAACTTCCTCCCCGACAACAACGAGCTCACACTAAAACGTCACTTTCTTGCGTACAGCGTCACACACTCACTCGTTCAATATACGACCGCACCATCAATCATGCGCACCAATTTCCCTAGTCGAACATGCATCATAACAGGCCCCTAACCTCAGATTGAGTTCATTAGGGCGGAGCCTGAGTCAAGTGACCTGCATGGTAAGGACGCTACAGTCCAATAACTTTACTTCTCCCCTCTACAGAGCTACATGATAACTTTGGTGTTAATGCGCTGACTAAAATATAAACAAACATGATTGTGTTACAGTACCGTGTAGAGAGAAGGACTGTTTGACTGTGTGTGAAGGTGATTAAAAGCTTACTTTAAGTAATTATACTGTTATATGTTAATCACTGTCTTGTTAATTTATCTATTATTGTTTTGTTGAGTCAGGATAGCATTTACTTTCCTATGTTATGTACTTTATGTAAGCTTTAATGAACAATTATAGTTCAAAGTCGTCTTCAACATTCCCACCAATAAATTACGTGATGCCCATCCAATACTTTGCTGTTTCATTTTCTACGATAAAACCTCTATAACTGGGAAGTGGTGCTGATCGAACTAACCCTTCATATGTCAATGTCACTGATACAGGTGGACGCTACGTAATCTGCCTCAGTGTTTCGAAAATGTACTTTACATTTATTATTTTGCCGCTAGCTCCTGTCTATACAAGTGATTAAATTAATTAATGTGTCAAATCCACGAGCAGAGATGTTGTTTTATGTATATTTTGAAATTATCCATTACAGTTTTTTTAATGTGAAAAGTGATTTTTAACAGCTTTATTACACTCTTTGGTAAGCTCATACATTTCACATTAACGAATACGTCAGATGTTAGCAAACTACTTTATAACGTTAGCCATACTTGACTCTTTATCACTTATTATATTTTGAAAATATATGTTTAATTACTAACATTATTTCATTATGTAAATCATCTTTCACATACTTTAGAACGCTGCCACACAGAGAATATGCATAAAAATACAGGAGCCAGACATTCTTGACCTATTTTAAGTACGTGCATGCGGGGAACACTAAAACCTGTTTCAAAAGTTGCCTTGACCTTCTAATGTGAGAGAAACTTGTAAACAACTCATGGACAAAAAAGCTATGGTTCGGGTTGTTCAGTAAATTTGTTGTAAAAATAATTCGAACCCCGTAAATGAGATGTCTATGAAGTCTCCGATGTAGCTCACACATAAAATAATAAAGAAGTCCATGTGCGATAAAGTATGCGCTTAGTGATTAGTGCCTTTTAATCAAAAGATTTCGAACATAAACATAAAATGGTCATGTCACAACCAAAAGCCTATCCAAAAAAATAATTCAAGGAGAGAAAAGAATGGACTTCACTGGAAGACTGTTACAAAACTATGCATGGCACCAGGAGACAGAGACAGTAGACAGACCATTATAAGAAAATCAACTTTTTTTGCCACGACACCCATGTGCGGTTAAGGGATAATGGATTTATTCCTGTAAAATGACACCATTGAGGAACTTTGTTTTCACACGATGCCAATAAAAAAGCACAGTCTCTCTGAGCTTATTATGTTTGCTTTATACATTATTACTCGTGCACAGGGGATTTTAATTTTTTGTTGCTGAATCAAGCTTCACTAAAAATATAGAATATTTTAAAAGTTACAAATATATTTTCATACCTTCTTCTGCATCATCTGTTTTGGACATGAACGGAGTAGAGTGAATGCTTACAATGATGCTAGTTGTGGCTATGAGTAAGATAGAGGGACTATATGTTTTATGTGTTACATTTTGGGTGGTTGGAAGGCTGAAGAGTCTAACATGTTCTACGTATTAACTCTAAGCTTATTTAACACTACACATCCAAATTTGTTCAGAGGCGGTGGTTTCTTTACTTATCTGATTTGCCCTCCTTTGGTTGTTTTATGGCTTTCTGTACATCCGTGCTTGGAATGTAAGATTTGTTGCTATATTATGGCATTACAGACATTTAGTCGCCTGAGGTTATATTAGTGTTTGTACTCCAGACAATATCGTGTTTTTCATATAGACATGTTCCACTTGTATCCTGTATTTTGTTGGTTTGCTTCTACTGTTTTAGTAAGACATCTACATTTTAGTAAATAGAATGTTTTAATCCTTTTGTCTTCTTGAATTTTGAATAAATATTGTGACGAACATAAGTTTTGAAATTGCCGTTTCTAGTGCAGATTTTAAAGTGTACTTATATCCTGCTACAAGCCTTTATTCATTTTTTGGAAAATCAGTAGTGTTTGGTTATTGTTTTATGATCGGTTTATATATTACTCGCAAAGAAGGGTTTCATCCATGCGAATACAAATCCTACATTCTTAGACTCGTGACTTTGTTTTCTAAAAGTGAGTTATTTAAAGGTTAACAATGCCTGCGCTTTGATCATAAATATCGGGACACGGGTTTACTTACACTACCGCATGTAAACCTTGAGTGTACATTAATCACTCACCAAAATGATCAGGTAGAACACACTTCGGTTACCACCCATGTGTCAGAGACGTAGAGGAGCGCTCTCAGGAGCCACCCTCCCCCCGATTACACTACCACATAGGCGCCACGTACGGCCCCTGGCTCCTTAAAATTAACAGGCGCCATTTTGCTAAATAGCATCCTGTTAACAATCATGCAGATTTCGTCATTCGCTAAAGTGACACAAATGAACAGAATTTTGTTCTTTAACACGTAAACAAATTATTTGACGTATTTTAAACATCAGTGTGACTGATGCAATATGCAAGCGTTACTAATGGTGTATTATTAGATGCTCGAACTCAATTTCTGACTGGATCGTCTAATAATAGATGCTTATTGCATCATTTGCAAAGTGACGAAACTCTACAGTAGGCTCCTCATATTCAAAAAGTTTTTTTTCATCTTTCGCAAGGTGACGAAATTGTACAGAAGGATTATTATTTACAAAGTTATTTTTAGAAGCCTGTTGTAGTTTTACCGCTGAATATAGTAGTACTCCTTACTCGCTATGCAGGACGCTCGATTAACGGATGCCATGTGCCAACACAGTCGCTCTAAAACTCTGGGAGCCAAACCGTGTATTGACGAAAATTAAAAGAAACTTTAGTTTTCTTTTTCTCAGAAATATTCTCGGGAGTATTCTCATCTGCTACCTAAAGTTTCATGGCACTCGAATGAACCGCATCCGAGTTTTATTTTTTATATACCGTGTATAGAGAAAAAATCGCCTCCCACCCCCCCCCCCCCCCCGCGCGGGCGCCGCCCTTGCAATATTAATTTTTTTTTTTTTTTTGCAGAACTCTACCCTGAATTGTTCTAATCCACTCCCCAAAGTTTCGCCCTTGCGAAAAAAAAGATTTTTTACAGAAACCTTCCATAGTTTGATGGCGATCTGATGAACGCCGTGAAACCGCAATTGACGTTTATTTTTATACTAGGCATACTGCCTAGCTTCGCTTAGGTTTTCAAAAACATTTGATAATTTGAATACTGATTATTTGGAGATGGATGAGGTGTGGAGTGCTTAAATTTAAACAGTAATGCTAATTTTAGAGAAGATGTTGTATGATGTTTAACAATCGCTTTCAGAGCAAAAATTAGAAAGTACGCAATTTATAACTAAAATGGAATTAGAACTACAGAGGTTCCATTAACAGTATATCTCATAATTTATATTACATTGACTTTAAAAATTAATTTTTTATTTAATTATGATACATTACTTAATTAGCAACTTATTAGGTTTAAAACAAATGTTATACTTTGTCGTTTTCTGTTTCTGTTTAAAATAGTATACACTTATTTGAAAAATAATTATTAAAAAGGTTACCTCCCTTGAAAATGGACCAAATGACGTATTTTTTTTGTTTACTTGTTTTAAAAACAGTTACTATGCTTATATTAAAAAAATTGATATATGAACATATTTAACGACTACAATGGATTTTTTCGACGTGAATAACGTTTTTTTTGTTACCCTCCAGGGTCGGTCTACGACCTCAAATAATATTAAGGGGATCGTTCGTCAATTTATTTATATATATTTCATATAAGGAGAATTTCACTCGCGGTCATCTTTTAGCCCTGCTCGAGGGCTTTGAGTCTGACCAACAGTTTTTCCATACGGCCTAGTCAGCTATAGAAGTGTATGCAAAACATTAGCTTGATGTACAGAGGTTAAGTAACCTAAAACTTGTGTTGGAAATTCCCTGTTTTTCCCATAAAATACAAAGATTATATAGGGAAATACGACTGGTCAGTTTTGACCCATTTAACGAATTTTCCCGGACATGGCGAGTTTTTTGTGACACCCCCAGGCATTCTCCTACCACCTCACAAAATTTCAAGGGGGGTCGTCGGAGGAAATTTTTTTTCGTAATATAGCCCATATAATGAGAATTTCACTCGCGGTCACTTTTTAGCCCTCGTCGAGGGCTTTGAGTCAAACTGACAGTTTTCCCTAAGATCAAGCCATTGTCCTAAACGTATGCAAAATATTAGCCAGATATACTGAGTTTAAGTACCCTAAAGTCTGCGTTGAAATGACCCTCTGTTTTCCCCATTTAATCTCGAGCTCTGATCCGAACTTGAAAGTTTTAATCAGTCTAGGTCTTTACCGCCATACACGTCGTACTCTATGTTAAATAGCGTTAAGTTGATACGTTTTCAATAAGAAATCTTATTCAAGAGGATCTTCTTTAAGGCGTCTAACTTGATAGCTTTATTCGTACAATACATTGTTAATGACGACATCGCTTTGACCTCTCATCTGGGAGTTTTAGTTTGCTTCTTCCCGATAATAGCTAACAATAAAATACAACAACAGTTAATATCTTATTAATAATTCAGAAGTTTTTATTATGTGTTCAAAAGACAAACGAAAAAAAAATATTAATGACACAGATATCATAAGTTCTATAAACGGATATGTTATTAAATATATAAACCAAGAAATCCATAAACCACACAGACGAAGGATTGATACAAATCCAAAAAACAGTTACCTTCCCTACTTAATGTGATTTTGTATGGAAAATACATCCTTTGAAAAAATAGCCAAATAATATTATTGAAAAAATTGCACAAACATTATATACGTTGTTATGGGTTAACTACACACGACTCAAGTGAATGGCTAGTTAAAGATATAGTGGTAGATGACAACTGCACTACTAGTATATATTTATACATATGGAAGTAATAAATGACTCCGTCCACAAGGTTTATTTTTTCTTTTATCGCTATAAGACCACCCGTCAATCTTTAAGATATTTCATGTCGAGATTACTGCATATATGGTCTTATTACATCATTATAATAAAACAAATTATGTTAGAGTTTTTAAAAAAATATTTCAAGTGAAATGTTATGAGTTAGTGTTTCTTACATGTATAATTCTCTTTCATCTTATCATCCTGAAAATATTGCCTTAGTTACATTTTAAATGTATTTCTTTTAATTTATGTAGTGCTGTTCATGGTTCTGAAGATTTTATGTAATTTGATTTTTGGATACCCATTATTTTACATGCAGCATTGTTTTCGGGTTGTTTACATTTGACGAAGTTTCATCTCAACAAAGTCTAGAGAGTCAGACGAGTCTGTAACGCTAAACCAATCAATTCCTTTATCATAAACACGACTCGCCCATTCACCGTTGACGTTAACAGTGTGACAATATTGATACCACCAACCACCTCTACAGTCTACACCACAGTTGCCACCTGACATATCATTATCAGAGTCTATGGTTGTAAACTTCATGCCGTTGTGATCGCTAAAGTCGTCTTCAACATTCCCACCGCTGAATGACGTGAGGCTCATCTTATACTTTGCTGCTTCATTTTCTACCTTAAAACCTCTGTACACGGCGTAGTAGTCTTTACCTTTATACTTCATGTCAAATCTGAGTTCATTATAACCCTGTGTTAAACAAAAAATTATAAAATTTAGATATTGCATTGTGTTTTAAATATTTTAAGTATCGATCTGCTAATACTATATGATAATTATACATATTGCTAAAACGTGACGAAAATCTATGAATAATGCACGAAATTTTCTAAAACAAATTTACCACTTATGACAATAATAATTGGCTGAACAGTTGTTGATTTTTATAATATACTCATAGCTTGGAAAACTTGTTTAGAAAGTGATAATTTTGGATAAACTTATTTCGATATAGCCTTTATTTATCCCATTATTACAAAAAAATACTTCCGTTGGAAAAGATTATCTAACATTATCTATTTCTAGCTTACATTGCAGCTTATATAATAGAAATAGCATTTATATTCAATTTAAGCATGTAATGAACCAGTGAAGGGGATGAATACTGGTGAATGTTGTTTGTACCAGTTACACAATTCCGTTCGTCCCTGTTCAGTTCTAGTGCTGTGAGTTGTAATAGACCAGTTTGTACCAGTTTATGATAGGTTATATAAGGTGTGTGAAAACGTGTGTTTGCTTCAGTTTCGTCCAGATCTCCAAGTTACTATAGGTAAGGTCTATACAAGTATTTAGCCACTGTATCGTAGTTTTACTAGCTTGTGTGTTTTGTGTTTAGAGTAGATTGTTTTTGTGTAGATAGTGTAGATTTTAGTAATTTGTTTAATTTATCGAGCCTTTTTCTTCATTTGTTTCGATTGTGGTTGTTTGTCTTATATGTTGCTCTACGCATCGGATTACCCGTAAGGCGTGTCCGTGTGTTCACAACAACGTATGGCTTATCAATGTCTAGAACTCCATCCTTTTCATTAATCTCCTGACATTGCCTTTCCGTCCTAACACGCTCGCAGTTAATAAACAAAAGACAATCATCCATTTGTCAGCCCATCCGGTAATTACACCATCTTTCCTTACACTATATATTATTTAAGTATTTTCCCTTCTAAATACGAGCTCAAATCCCTAATTCTAAATTTTACATATTCATAATGTACATTATTTGTATCTACATAACAATGTATGTTGTGTAGTGGGGATAATGACAGACTGCGGGTTAATATTGTTAAAGTGGGGCAGTGTTTCTTCCAGACTTTTTCTCCGGGGGAGGGGTGCACTTGATATTTTCGTGAGGGCGGTATAAATTTTACTGGGAGGCGGACACCAGTAAAAGTATTTGTTTACTATAGAAATTTCATCTCAGTCGGGGGGGGGGGGGTGGTGGGGCGGTAAACTTTCTTCTGGCCAAAGAGATGCCTGGAAGAAATTCTGTAGTGGGGGCGGGCGGAAGAAAGTGTAATAGATCTGTTGATAAAAGCGGTAGAGGAGGAAATGGCATGTGGATATATTCTGTGGATATATGTGGATATATCCTGCTCACTGTATTACACTACTACTCAAGGTTTGTTACATAACAATAATCTTTATTATATAAGTTGTGTTACCTTTTCTAAAAATATTTTACCTAATCTGCGTTTCGTTTATCTAATAAACACTTATGAAATCAACGAGCCTTTGGTTTTTTTTTCTAATGATACAAATGTAAACGTTGATCTAACCTGGCTCGTCTTAAATCCAAACATCACTTAACCAAAAAAGCAAGTTTCATACGCAAATACGCGTGTCAAATTAGTTACTACACTATATTTAATCGTTAATAAAAGTACTCAATTTTAAGTACAGACTTCGTTGAAAATCACGTCGAAAAACGAATGATCGAATTGATATATTAAAGCTGAAACGACCCCATGTATTGTAAAACAGTTATCAAATAACCTTAGTTAACAAGCTTGTATATACGTGTATAGAATAAAGTGATTTTATTTTTACAATTAGACATTAAGTGATGGCATGTACATCGCGAAGTGTGTGTATAGTACAATCACTTTAACACTCCCCTAAAACACATTACTTAGTGTAACTTCGTAATGTTTTAGTACAAATTGGGTTTTCAAGCAGGGTTTTAAGCAGCCATAATTACATCATTTCCGATCCAAAAATCTCCAGATATTAAACCAAATCCATTTTTATAATCGTTCCAAGTTCTTGTAAAGTTCACATCACCTTTGATACGTCTCTAAAAGAAATAACGGCAATGCTAAAGTAAAGTATTAATCAAGATGATATGATTGCTTCCAAAGATTAATTATGCTTAAATTACGCACGAGATATTATAAATCAAACGTTTTAAATAATCAAAGCGCTTCTGTGCGAAATAACAGCAGTGGTAAAATGCGTTTAAGATTTTATTTATGCCAAGGCTTGATTATCTTTCAAATTAATCAAGTTTCAGTTATATTATAAAACAAATTAAACAGACGTTTCGTTATAAGACTTAATATACATCACTTTAACTCTCTAAATATTTGCATCACTTTGTGTATTAGACAGCTACAAGATCACGCTACAACACACTTGCTCTAGTGTTTGATTCTGTTCAAAATTGAAACCAAATAAATCTCAAATTGTATACATAGTACAAAATGTATATTTGTACACAATCACAAACTTCAAAATAAAATAAATGCACACTTAACATTATCATGGCCTATCAAGAAATCTGATTTTCTCTCATTTATTTTTGAAAATCCTAACTTTTTACCAAAAACAACAAAATAAACAAGACTACAAATCAGCTTTAACAAACAAAAAAATCCCCCCAAAAAACTTAGTTAAAATGCTATTTTGAACTGGTCACATCAATGCAGGTCAACCAATTAGAGTATTGACAAACGGTCTATCAGAACTATATCTAAAATAGACCTGGTGTCTTATAACGTTGGTATAACATATTAGAATCATTTTATCGAACAAAAAAAAACACTGTATCATACAACACTGACAAAGTGGTTTAACTGTTGAATGTTTATTATTTATGTAATAGCTGAGTGTAATAGCTTTGGGAAGTTGCTGAAAATACTCCTGGGGAGGTACCTGCGAAAACTAAATTTAAAATTGGCAGGGGTGTAACGATTCGATTCTTTTTTATATATGGTATATAAACAATAAAAGTCGATTGCGGTTTGACACTATTTATCGAATTGCCATAATTTTGGGGGGAGTTGATGAGAATACTCCCGAGAAGGTTTCTGTGAAAAAATAATTAAAAGTTGAAAAGGGCGCCGCCCGCAAGGGTGCGATTTTCGTCAACTTACAATTTGGCACCCAGAGTTCAAGAGCGTCTATGTTAGCTCTTGGCATAGCGGGTATTTGGTAATACTATATTCAGCGTTAAAACTTTAACAAGCGCAACCGTCGGCACCCCGTAAATTGCACGTCCAGGGCTCCCCTGCGAGCACTATGGCGCCTACGTTCGTTTAAAAAAGACACGATGGGCAACAATAATCTTTGACCATATTGAACCAGGCGCGTGCTCTGGTGCCCCTGCAATGTTCGATTTGGCGCATCTATTTTTAGACGATCCAATCAGAAATTGAGCATCTAATAATACACCATTATTAATGCTAACAAATTGCATCAGTCACCCTGATGTTCATAACACGTCAATTAATTTCTTTTTCTACGTGTTAAAGAAACAATCCTGTTGATTTTCATCACTTTAGCGAATAACGCAATCTGCATCATTGTTTAAGGATGCTATTTTGCTCTCAGAGGTTACATTTGAGCTCCGGGGCTCTTACGTTGGTTTTAAACAGCCAAGGATCAGTTTTAGAAAGAAAAGGAATACAGAATTGGCAACGCACTGGTTTTATTTAAAAATCCAAACTTGCATCATGGAATAAGAAGAAAAACTAGACTAGGCATCAGCTTCCACACCACATCCCACAAACATTGAGTAATTTTAAAAACACTGGTGTGAACTGGCCCCTGACTTCACGTCAACCAAATCAAATACTGACCAACGGTCTTCCAGAACTATAACAGAACTAGAGCTGCTGTCTTTTGACGTCTATGTATTCTATTAGAGTCGTTGTAATTTAAAATAGACAAATACTGCGTTCGTCGTTAAAATACTACATTATTAAAAAAAAAATTCTTTAAATCGTATCTAAGTGTCTATCAATTAGTATAATCATCTTTTTTTCAATGGAATAAATACACCAAAATCATTATAATAAAGTATCGATAACAATAATTTGGTAAATGGCTAACAATATTATAATGACAAAAAACCTGTATAATAATCCATCCACCACCGTCAGTCTTGGTATCACACAATATTCTGTTGACATCTACTCCAATCTCCGTCAAGTTCATTATAACACGATCGTTCATGGTTTCACATTTTACCTGGAGTAAAAAAAACAACTGAATATTTGTATTTATTGTTAGTTAAAAAGCAATTAATTGAAAACAAATGTGTTCATTCATAAATTTCACTACTTTTCTTTATTAAGAATAATATTGTATTATCTACTGAAACATTATTAACTAGCTAAGTACCACATACCCACACAACTCTGAAGAATATATGTTTAAGCGTGTTTCTGTGTATATATAAGTATAAATATATTCGCAGAAATATTGTTAGTTTGTGTTAAAGTTGTTCACAAAGAGAGCCAATTTAAAACTTCATTTATTTTGCTAAACATTGTCGAGACAAGGAAATAATTTCTGTAAATGTGCGCTCCTGGCACAGCAGCAGCTTTAGTGAAAAGTGGTGATGTTATGTATTTTAAATGTAATCAACTAAATCGTTTTTTATATAAACCTCTTGACTATTTAATTTTCTTTTAAAATTATTAGCTGCTAACATTTGTCAGAATATTATGTGCAGATAAAAATATAAAAATATAATAACGTTCATGCTTTTCTACTTTTGACGAAACTAAGAAAAGTATTTATGTAAGGCTAATTTAACAACTTACCATGCCGAATTAAAATACTTTCACTTTTAACTACTTGGGAGCTTTACCATATGTAAATGCGAAACAGCGAAATGGCAAATTGGGACTTAGCGGAGTTTGATGCTATAAACATTATATTTAACTTACGTATTCTAATTCGTTAAGAAGAGGACCATTAAATCCATGTAATCTTCTGACTAGGACTCTAGTTTTATTTGATTTAGTAATCAGGTTTTGAATCGTGTTGTTCATCTTCTCCATACGGGCGTGTATTTCAGTGTCAGTTTTGTTTAGTAGTGATACAGCTGATTTTAAATCCTTCAGTGTCTTTGACTGTGTCTCTGCCAGTAATCTGTTGCTTTCTCCCTGTTGTTGAACGCTTATATTCTGACGTTTTTCTATCGCTATACTATCTTTAATGTTTTCCTTTGTCACGTTTAATAAATTCATTTTCAAATCTTGCATGTTTTTAGTTAGATGTTTCCTTTGATTTGAATTTTGAGGCAAACTTAATGATACATTAATCTCACTGTAGTTCATTTTCTCCAGCTGTTTGTTTAAAACAAAGTAAAGACTGTGTATTTCTTTTATTGACCTATTGCATAGTTCAAGTGTTTTATTGTTTGCTTCCATCTGTTGAGATGTTTTTAGTAAGCTTTCATTTAAGTTCTTTTTATTCTGCGCGAGCTCTTGATACGTTTTATTCTGTGTTTCAAACTTGTTCTCAACGTTTTTAAATCCATTTGTTATGTTGTAAATTAAGTTTTCAAGTTTCTGAATTCTATATTCTTGAGCAACTAACAAGCTATTCAATCTAATTTCCATCGCATTTGTAAGATTAACTAAGTTGTCAAATCTTTCTTCCACCGCTAACTCTCTTCTATGGTTTATTTGACTTACAGTTTTGTTAGAATGTCTGTCGTCTGTTGAAAACTGTAAACTCATCTTCAAGTCAGCACTGTTTAACTTATCAGAATCTTTAAACGTTTTTAGAAACTCAGACATTCTATCAATTGTTGTATCAAACTCTGGAGTTTTAGCCTCTAAGGTCATCAACATAAGCGGATTACGATTTTTTTGTTCAACAGGTTTTGTTTTATTTTCTTTCTTCTCAATGAGACCCGATATATTTCTGTAAAACACATCACATCCAAACACCGCACTAAAATAATCAGAAGGTTTATTAAATGACACCGTCAGCTCTCCAAACACCTTTGAAAACTTTCCATCAACTTTTGCTCCAGTTACTTTATGATCTCGAACTCTTGAATCTGATTCTGATACAGACGCCAACATAATCTTCCCATCTAATTCACTGATCCTATAGACTGATATGTTGACAAGAGCTGAGATGTTATTATCTTCTCTTGTGTTCTCCACACAGTGTAACTTGGCACAGAATAAATGTTTACCCTCCATATAATATTCTTTTTCCAATGAAATGTTAAGTCCTGAAAATATATAAGTAATATGTACAATTGTTAACATAAAAGATGGCTAAGCTTGCTTTAAATTAAGAAATTAAAAGCAGTAATTTCCATCCCATAGTCATCTTATTTAATTGTTTGTATTAAATGTTGTTTTTTTTTCACAGTAAAGCTCTTTAGATCAGCATGACCATAAATCAAAAACATCTATTCCATCGTACAATTATTATGAAACAACCAATAGAAATTGCAATTTTTTGGTCGTGTTTTTCATGTCTGGCAATAAAAGACTGATTTACTAGTCTGGCTACATTGTACCATTTAATCTGTCAGATCACATACGTCATCTTTACATCTCTGAAGCAGCTTATCAATTATACCATGATATCAATCTGTACCCACATGTAACAACACGTATTTCTTGTTGGTATTACAATACGGTCGTTATTGTGGGTTCGTTCATGCAAGAACACGATCAACAGTGCTTTTTTTGTAACTTTAAACTTTAATTACATAGATCCATAAGAAATAATAACGATATTCCACAGTAGAAAAATGACTATTACATTATATTCTAGAACAAACTGACGTGATGACATCTTACATCTTACTACACAGTCACAGGCAAGCACACCTCGTTCACTTTGCGCTCCACCTTTTATACACTACTTTCTCTCCCCTTACGTCAATGAGCGATCTCACACAAAAATGGAATAAAATACTTAAAAAAACTTAAAATACTTAAAAAAAAGTATTAACCACTATACGATCACGGCCAGCGCGCTCACATCGGTTGGGGCCGAAGTAACTGTGTCAATAGGCCTCCAGTCTTGTCGGTATGTTTAGAAATCATGTCCTCGATTTTATGGTCCTTGGGGCGTAATTTAATTAAGCTAATTTAGGTCTCTAATTGCTAGTATTTATGATTGCATGTGAAATTGTTAGGCGAAAATAGACTGCATGCCGAATTTCAGATGTCTAGAGTAATCAGAAGTGGGCTAATTTTCGTTGTCAATTTTAACAACAAACCCACAAACAAACAAACAAACGCGAAGCTGAGTTAAGACAAACGTGTTAAAAACGTGTTAAAAATACATGACGAGTCGCTCAAACAGTCCTTCCGTTTGCCAGGTACTCTAAATTCATGCAACTTCATGTAAAACATAATATTATAAACATACCCAATAATACAGTCTGCGACACGACATAATACGTGTAATACTACACAATACTGACATGTTAAAAATATATTAAGGCTGTTACTTTATTAAATGCAGTTTATATTAATACATTTCAGGTATTATAATCTGCTGTTCGATTGTACACAGTCATCCTCAAACCGGCATGTGATAAACAAATTGTTTGAAAAATGTTTATTTAACAAATAAGATTACAGTTTTGCATATAACCACTCAATGGAGTAGAGCTCACACTTGTAAATGAACACCATTCTGTAGCAATACTCCGGTATACAAGAGCAAGGTGTCAAAGAAATGCATAATTTCACACAAAATTAAAGTGTAGAGTTTCACTTAAAAAATAGATAAAAATGGGAATATCTAGGGTTATCTATTTTCGCCTTTGTTGTTCAATATTTCCATGATTAGATGAATTGGATTGTCACGGAGTAAATCATAAAGAATATACCGTGGACTCTGTGTTAACAAGTTAATGACTTACACTTTGGAGAATATCTCGTCTGATCTCACACAAGCCACAAGTACAAGAGGGAAAAAAACAAGAATGTTTACAACTCTAAAAGCACTTTCATAGGAAGAAAAGCACATTTTTATTTTTAAAAAAAGTGAAACAAATATCTCCCCTATAAAAATGAAAGATAAATTAATAAAAAAGTAAAATATGCCACGACCAGGCAGGAGAAACAATAAAATATACCTTGGACGGGTGCAGACAAAAAAGTCAGAACTGGAAAGGCAAGAGCAGCTTTTAGTCATATGAAATAGTTTTGATTTAAAGAAAACTGCTGTCAATTTCAAGGTATAATGACCAAGCCTAAACGTTTGCATAGAGCAATAACTTGGAGACCTACTTTAAAACAAAACTCATTATTTTTATTATTCCAAAGGATCAACCCCTCTTTTGGCATCAACTATCATAACAAAGGGGGAGCCCATTGTTGAACACATTCCCCATAGATTTAATTGGAGACACGATTTAGAGAAGAATATATAGAAGATGAACCAACATATAGGAAATGTAGTTGAAAAGGCTAATGATTCTGTTGCAAAGCCCGAAATGGGTCGATACTCCAAAGGAAAAAAATACGCACACAATTCATTAAACAACCCCTACCTCCCAATTTTTGCCATCTTTAATACAGTTGCATTCATAGTTTAGCTTATAAAAACACTAGCGCTCTAGACGGCTCAGCGTAGTGTAGAGCAAACTATCTCTTTATATGCCCAAATTACAGAAACAGGTGAACTCTTCATAACTGGTCCGATGGACCGTCAGGTTAAAAAAGGCAGCATTAATTTATTTAAAAGCCTTTCAATTCAGTCGTGTGCAGGCTTTTATTATGGAGGAAAATCCTGTAAACGTTTAGAATATATCAATTATAAAAGTGCAACACCATCTTCCCCTCTAATTCTCTGATCCTATAGACTGACATGTTGACAAGAGCTGAGATTTCATTATTTTCTCTTGTATTCTCCACACAATGTAACTTGGAACAAAATAAATATTTTCCGAATGTGTAATGTGCTCTCTCTAATGAAATGCTAAGGCCTTGAAAAGAATTTTGTATGTTATATTATATTACATTAAGGTACATGTCAATGGCAATTTTAGATGTAACAAAATATTACAGTATAACTTTAAAACAACACAACATTATTTACATTAAATATTGTGTGATAGGCAAGAAAAACATATTTGCTACTTTACCATTGATCCAAGTTAAATTTGCAATGATCATCAAGCTCAGAGAAAAAACAAACTTCTAGTTAAATAAAAGAAATTATTCCGCTATGCTTGCTGCAATTTATTACACAAGCAAAGATGAAGCAGTCAGTGCCGTTTAAATAGTCTGAGTGTAGAGGAAGTGACCTCAATTACTTAACATTGCGGATGGTGAAGCAGGACTTAACCGTTTCGTGGAAATTTATCGTAATGGGTTTTAGGACACATCCTCTTTTAAGAATGAGCAATATTCACATAAGTTTAATTTCCAACGTATTTTACACTCGGCCGCAAGTGTGGCAGGACAATTTAATAAACAAACACATCGCAAAAATAAATCGAATGTCTAGGCATATATTTATATAATGCAAATGGTCTAACCGTATAATGAGGTAAATGCTGTTGATTATGCATGCCAGTTAATGTTTAGTTTGTATTGGCAGTTTACTATACTAATTGAGAGTATTTGTCTTTTTTTATTTCCTTAATAAAATTTGCTTATTGTGGGTATTGCGATAAAAGAGCCGGTAACCGATTCATTCGGCCTTTTTAACCCGACCACTGCCCCATTGCTAACCTGCGCGCTAACCCCAGCCTGTGTGTAGATGTGTTCTAGCTCGTGCAGTAATTGTTTCTTAATAAAAGGTGATTGATTATTTGAAGAAACTAGAATCTATATATATAATTCTCCTCTTCGAGCCGTTAGAAAACAAGCTGCAAACGCTCTCCCTACCTCCCCACCCCTACATGGTTTTAGTGAGCTGTGTTCACTCTAAATGTTTACAAGCAGAGCCAACGATTTTAAACGTAGGGGGGGGAGGAGGGGGGAGGGAAGGAAGGGTGGGGGGTTATGGTCCTTAACGAGCTACTTATAGTGTTTTAAAGAAATATTTTCAGTGTCAGCGTTGGTACTGTCGAATTCACAAATTATGAATTATTGAAAATTAGAAACAACTAAATAGCGGCGTATGTTATGCCGCGGGCCGGCTCGTTCTATATAAACTTTGTATTCTCAAATATCTTGAATTATCAGCATTTAATGTATTTTTACTATTATCCACACAACTTTAGTAATCATACATTGTTCTAGTTTTGCCTCAATTTTGAATATTCTTAAATGACTATTACTTATTGTGTCATTTATAGACGACCGATTATTCTTACATTTGTTTTTTGTTTATGTTACAAATGATTGTAATATTTACAAAAGGTAAACAAAAGGTAATACCTTGAGTATCTTTCGTCATAGTAATCATCATAAAGTTGACCTGAGTCAAACACGTTACAATCAATTTTAATTTGAATTGATATTTGGACATTATCCCAGTTCTTTATTTAAGGAAGAAAACAACAGGGGACGACGTTGTAGAAACATCTTATTTTTTACGTTCCTTCCCAAGACGCATGGGGCAGAATAAGCAGAGTTAATCTGTTTCAGAAACCTCGGCATAAACATACATTTTGTGGTCATTACTAAGCTGAGCCTCGTTTGTTTCCTTATAGTGAGTGAGGTACCCATCACTAAGCTGAGCCTCGTTTGTTTCCTTATAGAGAGTGAGGTACCCATCACTAAGCTGAGCCTCGTTTGTTTCCTTATAGTCAGTGAGGTACCCATCACTAAGCTGAGCCTCGTTTGTTTCCTTATAGTGAGTGAGGTACCCATTACTAAGCTGAGCCTCGTTTGTTTCCTTATAGTGAGTGAGGTACCCATCACTAAGCTGAGCCTCGTTTGTTTCCTTATAGTGAGTGAGGTACCCATCAGAGCTAGCTTGGACTCATGGACATTCATGGACATTTTACTGACTCAACCCGGATTCGAACTCAAGGCTTTGGGTTAGCAGTCTCGCACTACAACACTAGGCCAAGCCATCCCAAAAATTTCTCCAAAAAAAATCTAAATCTAAATTTATATATATATATATATATATATATTTGGCCATAAAAAATAAGTTCTAGACCTATATTAAACTTAACATTAAAACCCATGGTTGTATTCTTTTATAACACTTCCAAGCTAAGTTGTATATTAGCACTTAGAACGTAAATAATCAAACCGCATTACGTTATATTACAAGCATGTAATATTCGTTTCTTAATTGTGGATATATGGGGAATTGTTTACGATCGATTCGTTATTATGTGTTTTTTTTTTTAATTAATGTTCGGTTGGAAGTTTTTAGTGAATTGGAAATAATGTGTCCACTATAGTTCAAATAGGTGGGCTACCTTCTAAGGGACGTGTACATAAATTATCCCGTGTATATACGGTTGTAAACGATAAGTGGAGGTGCAATAAAGTGTCTTGTTAAAGACGAAAGTAGAAGTATTTCTCAACACATCCTTAAAATAAAAAAAACTAACGAATGACAGTAATGTAGCAACGTAAAGTTTATAACCTTACCAGAACACAAAATAAAGTTGATAGCAAACACTAGAATAAATGCTCGAGCAGACATTTTCAGAGTCCCTATGGATACAGTCAGACAGCGCTAAGACAAATGACGTTGATATAACTGGGCGTTGTCGATATATATAACTCTTGGATTTTAATGTTCTTTATAGCTCGTCATGCGGGCCTCATCCGGCCTACGACTTTTTTTTTCGATTATAAGTTGTTAAAACGGATTTTAATGTTATAAATTTGGTTTATGACTTAATTCGCGATTAAAAATAAAAGCTCATGACCGTGACGCATGTCTGAATTTTATCTAATTTAAATTCATAAATATTGTACTGGTAATTATTTTTATTTGTAATTTATTATTTAAAAATAGTAGATACAAGAGTTTATAATGTTACGACCCCGACCCCTGGGATTTGTACCTGGTCTGACCCTATTGGAGAGTAAGACGCTCATACATTCTGTAAGTAGTTGACCACCACCTGATCGCTACTATTAGGACATACAAGCAATTAAATGTCGAAAAATGCTCGTAGACTAATTACCGTGGTCAGGCCAGAGCTGTGATTTATGGCTATAAGATACATAAAGTCCGGCCAACCAGACCGCTGGTGTGAGGGTGGGTAAAAGGATGGTTTGTAATTTATGAATGGGAAATATGTAAGACCAGAAGATACTCTTAATTAGAGTTCCAAAGCTATGTTATATATACTGATATTTAAGGAGGGGATTGAGACAATACAGGAGAGTACAGGACAGTGCAGGTTTAGAGTACAACAAGCGGTGACAAACTTAGTGAGTTGGTAGCAGCTCCACGGGATATTTGTAGGCTTAGTCTAGGACAGTACAGGACAGTGCAGGTTTAGAGTACAACAAGCGGTGACAAACTTAGTGAGTTGGTAACAGCTCCACGGGATATCGGTAGGCTTAGTCTAGAACTGGCCGTTAGAGACAAGGAGGGTAGTAGCATTAAAGGACTTTTTATTTCAGTTGTAGATAGTAGTATTTTACTCATTCTGTTTCATGAAGTGGCGTTTTAGATTTATGTGTTGTACCCATATCGGGCACTAAAATATAAGGCTAAATTACTTATTCTGTTTATCCCTTATCTATTCTTGTTCCTGTTTACAAACCTATATACAGTTGTAATGACTTTTATTGTCAAGCCGTAACAATAATTACGTTCCGATGTGCTGCGACATTTTTATATCTTTTGAAAATTATACAGAGGACACGATAAATTAAATCAAAATCATGGATTGTCTTAACCTAATCTTGAATAGAAATCAGTGTTTGATTATTTTAGTTCTGTTATTTGTGACGAGTTTAAAATTAAATTACTGCTTTTTAATTTGCTTCTAAATGTTGTATTACTAATAGTAATTCGTTTGTATTTTTGTTTTAGGAGTAGTATTAACAATGACCGTATCGAAGAGAGATTACTGTTGTTCAAGAACCAGAATTTAAAATAAACAAAATAAATAGTTATAAACATTTAAAAATACACATTAAATTGATAAAAAATATTTTTACCAATAGTTGTACTCCATCAATCTATAAGGGTGTTGAATTATTCTATTTCAGGATAAAGCATTGTTTTTATAGCAACATTTTAAAAGGAAAACAGTTGTCAGTTTGATGCCAGAAGCGTTTGCAGTACGTATAAATAACATATGACTGGTTTCCTTTTCTAACATTTGCTTTTGTATAGAGAACAAATATAGTTAATCGTTTTCTAGTTCGGCTGTTTTAACGTTTTGTTTAAACGAAATCTTCTAAAACTAGAATATCATTTCTCGAAATGACAAGGTATAATGTAAAAACAAAGTAAACTAAACTTTTGCCAGATTAGAAATACATAAAAAAGTGAATGATTATTTTGTGAAGTTTGGAGATGCCAGTTTCGTTTGCTTGTAAAATGTATTCTAGAGTTAGTGATTCATTAATTTTTAACTTGGAACGAAGATCATATATTTAAGTAATAAAACAAATATATAGTCTCAAAAGTTCAGTGTTAGGTATGTGGGTCAAAATCTAAGAGGTGAGTGAACGAAGATCTGAGTCATGTGTCAACATGACCTAGTCCTTTGTACACAAAATTAATTAAGTTTTAAGTCACGATGACCTAGTCATGAGATTAGTGGGGATGGGGTGTTGCCAGCTGGTACGGATTAGGCCTTCCCCATAGGCCGACAGGAAAACAATTGATAGGATATTTGGAGTAATAATACATCTATTTTTTAACCAAAGCAAAATGACCTGATTCTTCTCTAACGATCAATTTAAAAATGTGAAAACAGCAGTGACGATTCTAAAGCACTGATCACAAATGATATTCAAACACGACAAACTAAAATTTACTTAAGCTAAAATGCTACACAGTTTTACACTAGTCTCTGGGTTTTCTTGCTTTTATGTACTGTCTATTTGTGCTAAGTATGTGTAAAATTTGCAGCTGTTTACTATTGTTCACTATAGCCTACCAGCGAGTGACGTTTGAACAATTCGTTTTGACGATTTGATTTAGCACAGCAATTTTCTTTAATTCTCCTGTAATAGGAACATGCTGAAAATAATGTGCGTTATATTTTACTCAAAAGCAATACAACACAGCTAACATTATATATGACAAGTGTACGTCGGACCTTCCTTCTCCCTAACATTCCATCTTAAAGAAACACCATCTATTAGCATGAATAGCAATACCCTTGTGCTTACATCAAGTAGACAGTGTCGCTGTAACCGGCGCCATACTCACCGACATTCGTCGAGGTATTATTATCCCACAACTCGTACTCTGTCAAAGTTCGTATATCTTAGTCGGTAATAATAAGTTCAACTGGGGCATGGGGATGAATTGGTGGTTGAGTGACTAGAGACCACTCTGAGCCGAAATATTTTGTTTACTATATACAACAGCAATGTGTTAAAATTTAAAATTTAAAAATATGGACGGCTTTATCGTGTATTTATTATTTTTTTCCCGATTGCTAGATGCATATTATGTTGGGGTGAAAACGTTTTCGTATACACAAATACAAAGGAATAATATGTCATTTTAAAGGCCTCTAAAGAATATACATATATATATATATATATATATATATATATATATATATATATATATATATATATATATATATATATATATATATATATATATCTGATTACATTTTCCTGTAATGAGTCATTTTTATATTGTCACATGGGCACGGTGTAAATTAAAATATCAACTAAACAAAACAACTAAAGCAATGGCGCTGTGACCGAAGATATACAAATGGAGACTAAGTTGGACTAGATTATATCATATAAAGAGACATTTTATTCTATTAGATATCGAGTATAATATTTTTATTTTTGTACATTTTATTTTTAGCGTATGTGGTTGTTGCTCATTAGAAGAGGAAAAGTGTAATAAGCAGTTTCTGTTTAGTGGTTTACTGGGATAGTATATTTGTTTAGCAAAACATGATAATAATGGAATGGCAGTTCATGCGAAAGTTAGTTTTTAGAATCCGATGCTGTTGCAGTTTTGAGGGTAGATTATGCGTTCTCTTTAATTTTCTAATAACATTGTATCAACAAACATATATGTTCGCTAACATAAACATTTTGGCTATACACGGCTGGTGCAAAGCCTATCCGATAACGGCTAATCTTCAATAATTCATTGAACCACAAGTAAACATATCAAAGTCTAGGGTTTACACCGCTTTGTCCTGAGCAGAACACAGATGTGCATGCTGGCAAGGTAATCCTTATTACAAAGTCACATAAACCTAAATGTATTTGTATGTTTCTATTCTAATAACATCGTCTACCCTGGGTATTTATCATTTTCATAAAGGATTGACCTAAAATTAGTTTCATTAAAAAACATCCGTTATTTAGTTAGAGCCAGGAGGACATGATGCGGGTTCACATGAATAACAATATTTCCCAACCTGTAAGAACTGATTAACTATTAGAACAAAAGCTGACATGCAATTGTTTCCATACTATAGAGTAAGAGATTAACACATTATTAGCAAGCAGTAGGGTGGCTTTGGGAGGATAACGCTGAGTCGTTCGTTAAAAGCTAAGAATAGAAGGTTGGTTTAATGGATACATATACGAGATTATATTGAGGTACTGTGAGATAATAGTGAGATAATATGATGTTATATGGGACGGAGTGGCATAGCGTTAGGGAGCTGAACTGCTCAGTAGACCGTCCCTGAGTTCACCCAACTCTGATGGGTACATAACTGACGTAAGTAAAGGCGGCTGGGTAGACAGATGACCACACTCGCCCTTTATATGCCGAGGTCACAGAAACAAATGAACTCTACTTCACTTGCCCCGTAGACCGTCCGGTTTGAAAGGCAACTTTACTTCAGCTTAAGAAGTGATTTATTAAGAAGATAATAATTGTCTCGTTATAGAGGTGATAAAGTGGGTATGGTGTGGTGAAAAGGGATACACTAATATGATAGTGGTGAGGTAATAGGCAGGTAATAATGTTGTTATGGTGAGGTAATAGAAGGTAATAATGTTGTTAAGTTGAATTCATAGGCAGGTAATAATGTTATGTTGAAGTAATAGGCATGTAATAATGTTGTTATGTTGAAGTAATAGGCAAGTTATGAGATAACTGGCAGGTACTGATGAAGCTATGGTGAGGATATTGTGAGGTACGCCTACAGTTGAAGCTATTGTAAGATAATGATGAGATTAATGTGATATGATGGTTAGGTTATTGTGAGGTTAAGGTGATGTTATTCTGAAGTAGTTTTGATTTTTTGTTAGTTTAATGTAATCCACGCGTACCTCACTTGATTGATCACAAAGTTTTTTGATTGTGTATTGATAAAGTGCAATTTGGTAGGTACAACCCTGATATTTTAAATACTGCCTATATTTATTTTATACACTGAACGTACTGTTTACTAGTTATTATTTAAAATCAAAAACAGATTAGAAGCCGCTCCTAAATGTCATAAATGTTACTTCTATATTTCCGTTTGCGGACAAGCTTGGAGTATTATATTATTTCTTTAAATTGAATCAGGCGAGTCCGCTGGCGCCTTGGCAGGGTGCTA